CAAAAGCCAGGTCTGGAGCCAGTGCATGGCGCAAGATGGAGAGGGGGAAGCAGGGGTGCGCCAGGGGCCAAGGAGCTCTACTAAGTACCATGCAGAGGTGCACGCGAAATGGAATATCTCGAGAACGACAAAAAATACTTTTTGTCGTTGGTGGTTTCGTTTAGGGGACACTTCAAGCTATCTTTTAAGCCATAGTACGCCGTTTTCTATCAAGCAACTCATTTTTTAAACTGTAATTGAAATGTTCAACTTTTAATAACTTTTTAGGACTTTTTCCAAAAAAAAATTTTTAAGAACCTTTTTTGTTCCTTTTTTTTTCCTCTTTCCAACTATCACTTCGGTTTTCGTCGAAATTTTGAAGGGAAGTCGCAAAATCTGATAATTTCGGGAAAGGTCGCAAAAACGGCCCTCCCCCTGTACGGCAAACGGTGCGACATATCGAAAAAAGACCTGCGGCATGGGTTTCACAAAAATAAGACCTATAACTGAGGGTGGTGAAAAAAAATTTCCTCGGGGGTGGGGGTCTGTCATTTGTTGAGTTCGAAAATAGCTGCCCTACTGTACCTCCTCCTCGCTCGCCTCAAGGAGGGAAACATGGAACACACATTCCGCACCCCCAAACACGCTGCGACAGTAAGGCTCGTCGCAAAGCACCTGCCCACTGGTATCACAGAGTGTCAAGTGACAGTGTGTGACTATCAGTGCAGTGTACTCGTTTTGTGCCATGTAAAGTGTTATTGACAAGTGCTAAGTGCCATAGGATAAGTGTGTAGCGTAAGTGACGCTATGGGAGCGCGCGTGTCGCCCGCCGTGGCCCGAGCCCCGGACACGGTAACGTGCAAAAAATGCAAAACGATCGTAGTGCATCCAACTGCAAAGGCAGGCGCCTCGGCCCGTGCCATGCACACCTCAGGCAAGTGTGTGAACGTCAGCTTCCCCGCTGAAGCCAAGGCGGCCTACCAGATGACCAAGCAGAGGGAGGCCAGCGCCATTGATCTGGCCACCCTGTACAAGCAGTACTCGGCAGTACTACGACCCGGCATCTATTGCGATCGCTGAAGGGGAAAAGTACGTAGTGTGCGCGCGCTAGTGCAAGCTTCTGGTCCGTGTGCGCGCGGAAGATTACAAGGCCACCATGGACTACCATGAGCACCCCCCCACATGGCGCCGCAGCAGCTGCGCCCGCACCGCCCGCCCACCTAGGCACAGAAGAACTGACCAAGTCCTGGTTGCAAGCTGCAGCGAACTGGCGTGACCCGGTGGGATTCACTTTCGCCTGCGGCCACTGTGCGCAGTCTTTCACGTAGAGTAAGCTGGACTCACCAGCAGCGCGCGCCTACCACCTAGGCGAGTTCTGCAAGTCCCCTGGCCTCATCACGGCCCCTCCCGCCGTCCAGCAGGACGATCTGACGGCCAGACATGCCACCGCGTGGGACACGGAGACGACCGCCGTGACTAGGCGACTGGGCGTCATCACGAGAGCCATGAAGTCAACATCGCCCGACGCGACCGGCGCCCTGAAGCGCCACCACGACGGGGAGCCGTCCCCGTCCACCCCCACCAAGACTGCCCGGCAGCTCTCCTTCGAGAGCTTCCCCCAGCGATCTGCCCAGGACGACGACATGGAGGTCGCAGAGGACGCCGGCGCAGGTCCCAGCAAGGTGAGTGCGAGTGCGCCCACACACACTGCGCCCACACACACCAAACACAACACCCCCCCACCAATACACACAGACACAGACTGGGGAGAACACTTCTTCGCCAAAGTCGAAGAGCTGCAGTCACTACTCACACGGCCACTTACCTGCCTCACGGCCGGTCGCGGCAGGGGCATGGTTCTGCAGGCCCAGTCTATGGAGGACTATGCCAAAGCAATGGCCAAATTAGCAGAAGAGGGGTTCACCTTCACCACCCAAACCCCGCGCGGTGAGAGGGTGGAGCGCCTCGTCATGAAGCGAATCCCAGCGGGCGTCCCTGCCGACCGCATCCAGTAGGAGCTAGAAAAATAAACGCGCGCTCCGCGCGCCTGAAACTGAATAACTGAAAACTGAACCCCAAACCCGCACGGACTCCGCCCCTGACCTTGGAGCAGGACGGACGTGCTTTTTTGCCGTAGCGCATGCAGAGCGTCCCTCAACGACCGAGCCCCCGCCACCCACCGGGCTGCGCAGCCCCGAGCCGGTGCGCCCCGACGCCCGGGCTGGAGGGGCGTATGTCGGTAGCGGGCAAGGGCCCCAGGTAGAAGGGTCAGGATTGTCGCTAGCGGGCATCGGAGGGAAAAGAGGGGGTTTTGCGGGAGAAAAGGTATATTGTCGCTAGCGGGCAGCGCGACGGGTTGCCTACCTCCACGGCGTTGGGGCCGCAGCGAGCAGGGCTCTCCGTTTGGCTCTATCTCTAACCGTTTAGGCGCTAGAGGGTCTTGTTTGACGAAAATAAGTTAAAAATTGCTGTTGTGCCAGGGCACCGTGGCTCTAGGCCGTAGAGATTAGAATATATTTTAGTTAAGTTAGTTTAAGTGGTGTTGGGTAGCAGTTAAGTTCTAGAGACTGGACATATTTTCCATTATTATTGTTATCTGTATTTTTTTTTTTTTTACAATTCCTCTGTTGGCCTCGATCTGTATTTCTTACCTGTTTCGGAATTTTCACCTGCGTGCGCAGCCCGAGCTGGCACCGTGGCTAATTGTCGCGTCATCGGCGAGCAGGCTGCCATCCTTCCACCATCGCGCAGCTTTGAAAAAAAGGGCTAGGAGCCCCTGCAGGTC